ATCAGCGCCATCCCGAGTATGGATCAGGAAGACCCACTGGTTTCCCCTGGCTTATGCCCCTTGCTTGCGCCAGGAAACTTCCTGGTCCTGCCACTTTAGCTGTGTCTCTGCTCTACAAATCTACAAATCTTTGCTCTAAGCAAAACAGGAAAGAAAGGGATTGCTTCGGATACTCCCAAGGTCAAATAAAAGTTTTTGCTACTTGTTTCATTTTCGTTTGAGGGCTGTGTCCAGGACTTAATACTGGTTCTGCATTCAGGGGTCACTTCTGAGTGCAGAACTCAGCCTCAAGTTTCTGTTACTTTTTAAAAAAATAATGATTTACAAGGGAGCTTGTGTCCAGCTGCGGGGTCAGGGAGCAGCTCACACCCTGGTCTCTGAGGACGTGTATCTCAGCGTTCAGAGTTCTGGCGCCAAGATGCATTTATTTCAAAGTGAAGCCTTATCTCCAGTGATGGCGACACGCTCATGGAAGCACAGTCCTCATGAAGCCACAGTCCAAGGGGGGCTTCTTGCCGGGGTCATCTGTTTCTTTCTGCAAGACTCCTAGGTCGCAGCATTTATATTTGAGAACAGCAGATGAAGAGGGAGAGCTCTCTGTTTCCCCAGAAATACAGAGGGGCGCATCTGATTGGCTTTAAGCAGAGTCACTGCTTTGAGGTGGGTGCGTGAGTCCATGTCTGCATACAGACTTGAAACTTAGGCAAATACTCCAAGACAGACCATCCAGACATAGAGGATTTGGGACCTTGATTTCTGCCAGCAGAGACCCTTAGAACTTTGCTAAGAGTATGCTTCTCACCACAGTAAGCTTACCTCTTCTGCTCAGAAGTAGAAACCGGATAGCTTTTAATGGTTTATATTGGTTTTGACGAGTCAAGAGACAGGATGGCACATCTTGGAAGGTGGATAATACACAGCAGACAAAAGATGCAGTAATTGGGGCCAGAGCGATAGCACAGCGGGGACGGGGCGTTTGCCTTGCACGCAGCTGACCTGGATTCGATCCCCGGCATCCCATATGGTCCCCAAGCATTGCCAGGAGTAACTCCTGAGTGCATGAGCCAGGAGGAACCCCTGAGCATCACTGGGTGTGACCCAAAAAGAAAAAAAAAGATGCAATAATGGATGTGGGTGGGACTCGTGAAGATGAAGGGGGTGCCCAGGCGGGCTTCGAAGCTGACAGAGTTAATGGAGCTACTGCAGGCGCTCTGGGCAGTGTGAATGAATAAGGTAAATGAATAAGCTTAGCACTGCCACCGAGAGCAGGTCCCGGAACTGAGCAGGCGCCCAGGTTCCCACCATGGGAGGCTGGTTAAGGCAACTTGTTGCTGGCAGGGTGTCCCGGCCACCATTTTCTTTCCCCGACCAGCCAGAGCCATCAGTGCCATGTACAGCATATTGTGGAGGAAAACCTCCCTGAGCACCAACGGTGGTGAGACCAGGGATGGGGGAGGGCGTGTCCCCAGGGCAGGTTCTGCTACAGTGGTGGATGTGGCCCCTCCAGAGCTTCTGAGCTGCAAATGTAGCAGCCCTGCTCTTGGTCCTGCTCCCTGGTAGGGCCATAGCCACCTCTGACACTGAGCCCAGAGGGTTACATGCCACCTGGACACAGGGTGTGCTGACCCCCGAAAGGGCATCAACAGCCTTAGGGTGTCCTAAGCCTTCCTGATACCCTAAAATCACTGCTATGCCTCTGGCCAGACTCCAGCAATTTAGGATCAATTTTTCAAAAAATTCACTTGTCACTTGTATCACTTGTCATCCCGTTGCTCGTTGATTTGCTCGAGCGGGTGCCAGTAACGTCCCTGTTCATCCCTGTCACATGCTAGTGTAGCCCAATGGCGTCTGTGGGATGTCAAAAGAACGCCTGGCTGCCCACCTGGTTGGACTTCTTCATCAAGACCCTGAATGAATGGTTTGATGCTCTTCGTGATCCTGGAGCAAGCGGATGCCATTGGGCTCCAAGAAATTAAACTGCCAAAATTTAGGTATGTGGGAACCACATCCACAAACTACCTCTGGCTCAGCTATCCAAGCTCATTTATCTGGCTGCTCCAGAGACCCACAAAAAAATCTTGAAAGAGATCAAAAGCTGCCATTAATCTCGGACCAGCACAAGGCTGAATCGACTGGGGTAGATTTGGGGTGGGCAGGCTAGCCTGGTGTCTGCCCAAGCAGCTCCTCCAGTAGCCGCTTGCTCCCACAATCCAAATTGCCCTTGGCTGGACTCCACTGTCTCGGGACTGACCTTACTGAGATATTAATCTATTGAAAATTTGGATATGTGGGTTTTGTGACTGAAATCTCCAAGCTTTCTCAGGGTGGGTGGGCTAGCTCCCCCCACCTCCCTGTACCTCCAGAAGCCTCCACAGTCATGGCCACACCCCCAAATTGCTATCCAATTACATAGAAAGTTACTCCAGATGTCCCGATAAAAATAGTGAATGCCCTGAAAGAATACAATGACCTTTTGGAGCACCTGTACTGCAAACCATCATGCACAAAAGGAGAAAGAGAAAGAAGAAAGGTGCCTACCACAAAGGTGGGCAGGGGGTGGGGGTTGGAGGGGTCGTGGGAGGGAAACTGGAGACATTGTGCTGGGAAATGTGCACTGGTGGAGGGATGGGTGCTGGAACATTGAATGACAGAAACCCAATCATGAACAGCTTTGTAATGGTCTAGCTCACAGTGATGCAAAAAAAAAAAAAAAAAAAAAAAGGAGGGTATAGAGGGAAGGTGGGTGGGAAAAATGGGCTGGTATACAGGCAATACAAGGAACGGTAGTTCCTGTCCTGAGTTTCAAATGTTAGTGTTTTCATGTTCTATAGCAGAAGCAAGATCTTACTGTTTGATTTGTTTTCTGGGGACACACCCAGCAGTGCCACCTACTCCCAAGTAATGTTCGTGGACAGTGTAGCGTCAGAGACTGACCCTGAGGGTCCCACCTGCAATGCAATGCATGGGTCCCATCTGCAGTCCTCCTACAGCTAGGATTCCTTAGGAGGAAAGACAACAGGAAGTCTTACTGTCTTCAGCATCTGTGAGGCTGAGGGGCTAAATTTTGCGTCAATTGAAGGGAGTACATTTTGACTCTCGCTACTCTTCCTTCCCTCCCCATGCCGGTTTTGGTGATCTGAACTCACCGATATCTCACCTTCTGGCTATGAGAACAAACATTATTGTTCGGTTGAAGAATCTTCAGGGCAGGAGAAACTGTCCTGCTGAACCCACAGCAACCTAGTAAGTATATCTTATAGCACTGTAGCACTGTCCTCCTGTTGTTCATCAATTTGCTTGAGCGGGCCCAGTAATGTCACCATCGTGAGACTTGTTGTTACTGTGTTTGGCATAACAAATATATCACGGGAAGCTTGCCAGGCTTTGCCGAGTGGGCAAGATACTCTCGGTAGCTTGCCCGGGCTCTCCGAGAGGGGCAGAGGAATCGAACTCAGGTCGGTCTCAAGGGCCGCATGCAAGGCAAACGTCCTACCCACTGTGCTATCACTCCAGTCCAAGTATATCTTACCAACAAGCATCTATTTAAAAATTTGTAAGACAAATTGGTATATTACGAAGTACTTTCCACATTAATACTGTTCTTCTGGGAGATAACAGAATCAACTGTGCAACCTAGACAGACACCATACCAACTAAAGCTCACGAGGGAAGGGCGGCAAGGTCTGATTTTCTCCTCCCATCCAAACATCTGAGATTTTAAGCTGGGTTCCTTCATTTCCATCACATTGGCTTTTCCTTTTCTCTCTGCCCTCTTAGGTATGTGAAGTGTTGGAAGATGGTCTGCATGCACTCGGGACCCTTGCTAAAGCAGCAAGAGTGGGGTCTTAGGACAGTACAGATGATCTCTTCTTATTGCAAACTCACTACCAAAGTCGCTTAGTCCTACTGCAGATCACACAGACCAGTTTGCACTTCCCTTTGGGGGCTGGTCCCATCTCCATTCACTTCTTTCTTCACCAACCATTCCTATGTCAAACGCATTTCTCATTTGTGGCGGGTGGTTTATGCATGCCTAGTGGGGAGCTTGGAGCTAAGTCCACAGTGATCCTTGGGGACCACACAATGCTAGAAGTCAAATGGGAATTGACTATATTCAAGGCGAGCCTCTTATCCCTTGTTCAACCCGGGGATCTATACTGTTTATTTTAAATTCTAACTCATGAGAGTTAATTCCTTTACTCATATTTTTAAAATGAGAAACTGGGTCTCACACTGACTTTCCTCTCTCTCTCTCTCTCTCTCTCTCTCTCTCTCTCTCTCTCTCTCTCTCCTCCCTCTCTCTCTCTCTCTCTCTGCTTTTTCAGTCACACCTAGCAATGCCCAGGGGTTACTTCTGGCTCTGCACTCAGGAATTACTTCTGATGGTGCTTGGGGGACCCTATGAGATGCTGGGGATAGAACCCAGGTCGACCGCGTGCAAGGTAAATGCCCTACTTTTTTCTATGGTCCCTCAAATTGAGTTTCTAAGTAGGCACCATGCTGGAACCTGTGTCCTTGCTCCTTTTCTCCTACTTCAGAGGGGCCAGAGGATTCAGGACAGTTTTTTTAAATTTGGTTATAATATTTTGTGCCCCATGATTTTGTGCCCTGGGGATCCCCCGCCGAGTCACAACGTGGGAAGCGTCTCCCCCAGGCCCAGCCAGCTCCGTGGAGGAAGGGAATACATCTGTTCACTTGTCAAAGATGCTCTTTTGGAAAAAATATTCAAGTTATACAAATATTTACTATTCCATTAACTTATGTAATCTCGAGACTAATGAACACAAAATGAATTTTTGTTTTGGGAGCTATTTGTCTTGCCATTAGCTAAACCATGAAGACTATTTCATCTGTAACATAAATAAACCGGAGCTATTTTCAAGGGCAGAAAACATGAGGTCTGAGTCGAGTGTCGGTGGCAGGCTAACTGCACAGCTCTCTGCCTCTCTGCACCAGGCCTCTCCTCCGGCCTCCATTTCGAAATCATGGAATGAACGTACCGTTCTGACCTCTAGCCATCTGTTGGCAGCCGAGAGAAATAAGTAGGCAATGTTGTTTGTGTCCGTCAGTTCCAGCATGCGTTGCTTAAATCTGGTTTCATGCCTGCAGACAACAAAAATATTATGACGTTAGCCACCCAACGGGGGAAATAATAAGAACCAGAAACACTACTACACGATTGACTCAACACGGTGACCAAGTGACAGGAGGCGATGACTGGTCAATGGACTCCTACCCCAGAATCAGGGCCAGCTGCTACCACCACCACCACGCTCCCCACACTCTTTGTAGAGATGGAGGAGGGTCACACCCCTTGCTACAAGAAGGAACCTGTCCTCTGCTCTTTCTTTTTGTTGTTCTGTTTTGGCAATGGGCTGGGGTTGCACATGTGGTTGTAGTGCTGGGGGGGGGGGGGGGTCATGTGTGTTTCTTTTCAGTGCTCAAACTCATCTGGCTGTGTACCAGAGATTGTATTTCCCATGGCTGTGGGGCCAGGGGCTCCAGACAGCAGATACTGTGACCTTGCTGGGTGCAGGTGGGTGGAACCAGGGATCAAACTTGCAGTCTCATGCTTGAAGGTCAGGTACTTCCTTTTTTTTTTTTTTTTTTTTGCTTTTTGGGTCACACCTGGTGATGCTCAGGGATTATTCCCTGGCTTTGCACTCAGAAATCACTCTGGCGGTGCTTGGGGGACCATATGGAATTCCAGGGATCGAACACGGGTCGGCCACGTGCAAGGCAAAAGTCCTTCCCACTGTACTATTGCCCCAGCCCAGTACTTATTTATTTACTTATTTATTTATTTTTGCGTCACACCTGGCGATGCACAGGGGTTTCTCCTGGCTTATGCACTCAGGAATTACTCCTGGTGGTGCTCGGGGGACCCTATGGGATGCTGGGAATCGAACTCGGGTCGTCCGCATGCAAGGCAAACGTCCTACCTGCTGTGCTATCGCTCCAGCCCCCAGCCCTGTACTTATAACACTAAGTGGCCCCCAGGGCCCCAGAAGAGTGTCTGGACAAAGTCCTATACTGGACCAATTCATGAATTTCCACATAATCATTGTAACTGTAGAAAACAAGGTAGAGCATGTGTTGTAAGGGCTTTACCAAAACCAGAATAAGCTGCACAGAACTGTAATATACGTCCTATTTATTTTTTAAGGCATTTATTTTTCTTTCCCCAAAGGCACAGTTGTACTTGGGTGAAGGAAGTTAGACGAGATCCAGACAAGACAGGAAATTGTGCTTTTGCATCAGGCAAATATGTACTTAGTATTTCTGCCTGCACGGCAAAGCCTGGCAAGCTACCCGTGGTGTATTTGATATGCCAAAGACAGTAACAACAGTCTCACAATGGAGATGTTACTGGGCCCGCTCAAGTAAATTGATGAATAATGGGAGAACAGTGCTACAGTGCTAAAGTGCTCATTTTCCTTGAAGCCAAAGATGGAAATGAGTGCAATGAGAAGAAAAGCATGAAGAACCACTGGAGATGGAAGATATTCTCATTAAATAATGTCGTGTATGCCTCAGGTGCTAAATGAAGGCAGTCACTGTAGGAAGGAACTCTGGGGGTGCAGTATTTATATATGGGGTTCTGAGCATACAGTTTAGATATTGATTCCTGACAAAATGTTAATCTTAATATATTAAGAATGTATTCTGGCCAAATTCTGTCACCCATATTATATATAAAACACCTAATGTAAACCTCATTCATTTGAACATGTGCTCATCGAAACACATGCTATAGGGGGCTGGAGTGATAGCACAGCAGGTAGGGCATTTGCCTTGCACGCGACCAACCTGGGTTTGATTCCCAGCATCCCATGTGATCTCCGGAGCACTGCCAGGAGTAATTCCTGAGTGCATGAGCCAGGAGTAACCCCTGAGCATTGCTCGGTGTGATCCAAAAGGCAAAAAAAAAAAAAGAAAGAAAGAAAGAAAGAAAGAAAGGAAGAAAGAAAGAAAGAAACACGCACTATAAGGTGAAAATCATGTCTAAATCACATGCAAAATAAAGTTTATTCTCTTCCCTGTTATTTTCCTGGAATGACAGAAATAATGAAAAGTTGGATAACATAATCAAAATAATAGTTAGCAGTGTGGAAGCAATACAAAAATTAAAATGTGGTTTAAACACTCTCCACCATGAAGGTTTGTCTTACAGAGAAATCAGTCTCTGCATTATGTTTACAAGGAAGAGCTGAATGTGTCTGACAGAGTCTTGCAGGATTTCTTTTTTGATAAAAGGTGGTCTCACCGCCCACCCCTGCACTTCTTTTCTGATAAAATACTGTCCCAAGCCTCCTATTCCCATCTTTAAATAAAATTACAATATAGTATAGTTAACCCTCACTTATGCAAAAAAAAAAATTGAGGTGATGTATGGGGTGTTCCCTTGGCCTGTGAAGACATCTATATAGGCCAGTAGAAAGCAGATACTTGATATCTATCCAATCAATCTAATCACTCCAATATGCCAAACCAGATAAAGAAGAGAATTGAGTCAGACAGCAACGTATGACCTACAGTAATCAAAGCAGTCAGTGACCCCCCTCCGGGGTGTATGGAACCTGACCCCCCAGCCAGGCACAGAAGAAGCCATATTGACCCGAAACACAGTGGAGAGTGGCGCCCATCCCAGAACACAAATGCCTCTGTGCAGTTACTTGTGGAGAGGAAGAGAGTGAAAAATGAAATGGGACAAGGGAGGGCTCACAGATTTACTGTGACAGTCCATGTGCCCTGGAAAGAGGTTCTTGAAGGGTCATTTTCTCTGTCCTTGGAACGCTTGGTGGCGTTTTAGTCATTCATTCTAACCACCTGGGGAACACCAACTCAGAAGCACCACCAGCACCAACTCAGGGACAAGGCGGGACCTGAGCTCCGGAGCAGCTGACCGCGCCCCTCACACCAGCCCCATCCACTCCATTCTGCATAAACATTAGGGTAGGGGGCAGTTTCCACAGACCAGAGAATCTGCGCCAGGAAATGGGGTGGTCGATAAGAAGGAAGGTCGGGGATGATGGTATTAAGGAGAAGCTAAGGAATGAACTGAGTTTTCCAGGTCAGCAATGGATGGAAAAACAGTCAAAGGAGCAGGATCAATACAAGGAAAAGACACAGAAGAGAAAACCCAGAATCTTTAGGGGCTCCAGGCAGGGACCCTCCTAGAGTGCTGAGGGAGGGAGAGATTGGGATGTGGAGCTACGGGGGGGGGGGGGGGGGCAAAGTCAGTTAGTCCCATCCGAGGGAGCCCTAAGCCCTTCCCTCCATCCAAGGAACCAAGGGCACTGTGTCAGACTTGTCCTCTCCCTGGGGTTCGGGGGTGTTTTTTTCAGATCCACTCTTAAAGAGTTTGTAAATGGAATTGGCCGCGAGCAGCAACCAGAGGGAGGGGTGGAAATGCAGCGAACATTCTTTCTGTGTGTTTCTATTTGGCAAGAAACCTTCTGTTTTCCTAATGGAAACTTTGACACACTCAGCCTGTATCTTTTCATCCACATCCAGCTCATCTTCTGAACATTCTTAGACCTTTATTCTGGTCAGACCGAAAAAAAAAAAGTAGGAAAGGTCACAGAAATCTCAGTCTAATTTAACTGTGATACTTTCGTGGTAAAGCACTTGAGGGAGTTCACTGGTGCCTGGGAGTACACCACGAACCCTGAATAAAAGGGAGGAAAAGCAGGCTCAGTAAATCCGAACTTTCCAAGAGTGAGCAAGAATCTGGGGACCTCGGGGAGCTTGAAAGAAGGAATTAATGGACAGGGAAAAAGGCATTTAATTCCTGACCACGAGCACCAAATGTATAAATCTGAGAAGGGCAGCCACAGAAGATGCCAGCTTCACATGTTCGACCTTCCTTTGGTTTGGAAATGTTGACATCAGTGCTTTTGACTTTCAGAAAGAATCTGAATGAACCTGACACAGGTACTTCTCCCTAGAAGTCAAATGTACTTTTACTTCTTCCGGTCATAATTCAAGCACAGATGCTCTGTTCTTCTCACAGTGATCTAGAATTTCCCCTCATTATAAGATTAGAGTGTAGATTCTGTCTGAATATCTAGATTTCATGATTAAAGTCTAATTCTGCTCATTTATTGCCCCATTTTCCCTTACAACTGGCTAGGAATGCTGCCAAGTGCAAAATGGATATCCAAGATAGAGTAGCGACGATCATTGATTCATAGATAGGTATTTGTGGATGATTCACTAATGCAAACATGCCTGCCCACCTAAAAGCCCGGATGGTTGTGAGTCCTTCAGCTGTTTCTGAGAAGTGGCAAAGCAGGGGGAGCTGGGTGCTGTCATCAAGTTCCTGGAGGTCCCTGGAACAGAGCAGAGGGCCATTAGAGATGTTCCGTGCACCAGGGTGCAGAGAACAGCATGTTTATTCTCAATTCAGGCAATTTTAAAAATTATCCTACTTTCACTCTGGTACCCAATTAACACAAACTGTAATAGCTTTCATTTAAAGAAGAATGGAACAATAGGTTCGCAAGGAATATGAGTCTAGGCTGGACAGAGATTAGCTGTGGATAATAGCTAAAGTAAACCACTATGCAGACCCAACAGGAAGACAATTCATTCAAATCTAGGAGACAGTAATATTCTCCTTCGAGCAGGTGGAGTTTAGGCCAAGTCATAAGCATGAGGAGGGTTCAACAAAACAAACACATTCCAGCCCAGGGTATGACACTCAGCATAGAGAACAAATTCCAGCAAGTTCTTTAAGGCTGAATATACAGTACTTTGTGATGCTATATTGAGGACTAGAATTGTAGAGGATCCTGGTTCACTTGGGAAAAAAAGAGTAGAAGTAAAATGGTCTATTCTATGCTATAGAGACACAACTTGGGGACCTTCTAAAGGATCAAAGAGAGAGGCAGGATAATCTGTAGACAGAAGTGTTTGAATTGTTCTGAATTAGAGACAAGAGTCCAGTTAGTTGGCTTGCATGCAACCAACATGGGTTTGATGCATGGAACCCCAAATGGTCCTTAGAGCCCTGCCAGGCATAATTCCTGAGTGCAGAGCCAGGACTCGGTGGGTGGGGTCCCTGAACAAAAAATTTCAAAGTCCTGAATTAGTGTAAAGTTGGTGAGAATTAAATAGGGGAGAACAATGAGGAAGAATCCTGAAGGTCTACTTCCAAACTGCTACGACCAAGAGTTGGGGAAATAAGAGAGTTGGACATGTTATGACCCTATTCACAGGTTCTCCAAGGAACTACAGGTGAGTGATGCTGAATGGATATTTTCTGGACAGATGCCTGGGTCTGACACTGCCCAAAACTCAGTTGCACGAGGAAGCTTTTTATTCACTGTGTCAGCACCAATTTGTTGAAGAGAGATTAGAAACTATGCCACATATTTCAAAATATCCCTCCTTTCTTGTTTTTCATTATTTCCTCCCTGCCCTTCATAAGGTTTTTGAGGTAGAGAAAAATAGAGCAACATCCTGGTCATTCAACCAATCTGAAGGACACGGTGACATAATTAATTTTCAACAATTACCTTGGGTCAATCTGGGAAGCTTGTGTAGCTTGGGCAACATTTCTAAGATTCACTCACCTCTTGCAGAGGAAGGGAGGGAATGTGAGGCAGGAGGGGAAAAATGACTCTGGAGGAAGGGGAAGACTCCGCTATTTTCAGAAACTAAGGCACTGTTTGTAAACTTGACACGGCAACAGGTGGCCACTACACTGAGGCAAACTAGAGAGGGAACTTTGTTTATGGGACTGCATTTTGTCAATCCAGAAAAAGTGAGGGCCCAGCCTCAGTGTGTGTTCCCGTAAGAGGGGAACACTTAGTTTCAGAGCTAACCACACATTTGGCCCTTGATTTGAGATATTTCAACTTTCCTGGCATTTCTTGTAGCGAGTGTCCCACTGAAATGCTCTTTGGTGTTTACAAAACAGTTTGCCACCTGAGGTTTTCATCATTTTTGAGTCCTGTGGTGCCTCTAAATTTAGATTCTTGAGGTGATGTAGAGCCAGTGCTGGAAATTATGGGTACTTGGTGGCGGGGAGATGAATAGCTCTGTATCTCAAGACCACAGATGTCCACACTATTGTGACCATGTTACTTAAACTGCAAAATTATCAGCAGCAGCAACCATAGATTTGTTCTGTCTGGAAGAGTGAATATCATGTAATCTTCATATTTGTTAACTTGAAGATGATTTTTCAGTAGAAACTGTATACAATCCATTATCAATGTTCTTTGCAAAAGTGGTCATCCCAGCTGTATTTGGCTACTATAAAATACTGTATTTTAGCATACAAGCATACCAAGGCTTACAAATTGCTCTCATGGTGAACAGAATTCACAATTCCGACTTCTAATGGACTAGAAGTGCCTTGTCTAACATTCACACTTTGTATCACTAACAATGTACATGACTTAGGTAAGCCATGACTGTTTGATATGAATGATCCCAAAGAAAGAACTCCTCTCAAGACAGCCAGCAGAGATAAAGTAGCTGTCAAATAATTTTTTGCCCCCCCTTGAGCCCACTTCAGCAGCATCAGCACTAAAAGCTGAGGTGAAAGGGGAGATTTGATGGCTGCTTCTCTCATTCAATCTGACTTGCTACACAAGAATAAGGATGAGGCTGGGAATCAAAACATCTCTTTTGACTTTGAAAGAGAGTCCTAACTGTCAAGGGATTCTGCTTCACAGCCTCCAAGAGAGAAACAACATGCACACGCGCGTGCACGTGTGTGTGTGTGTGTGTGTGTGTGTGTGTGTGTGTGTGTGTTGACCCCAAATAGATTTGGGGAGGAAGGTCAGGCCACACCTGTTGATTCCTAGGGTCTCTTCCTGGCTGTACTCAGGAGTAACCTCGACGTGTTCGGGGGGATCATATATGGTACCAGAGATTAAACTACGCTTAGCCTCATGGAAGGTAAGCATCTTACCTCCTATACTATCTCTTTGGGCCCTCAAATTGATTTTTAATCTAGAAATATCATATGTTCTACTCAGTTTCACAACTAGAACCCTCCTCTTCTCTCAGTGTTCCTCTACTTTTCAGGATCTCTGCATTTGACTCCTATGACATGTTTTCAGTTCGATGAGTAAACTTGGGATCTGCCTTCCTATCCCAGAAAAAATCCACAAATAATAGCTATTTTATCTATATTTTATCTTCTCCAAAGATAGAAAGTTCTTGAGAACAGGTGTTTGTCATGTCAGACTCTTCATCAGTCACAGAACTTACCCAAGTAAGTGTTTAATAAATGGATGTTGAAATAAAGTGATTCCTGTCATGATATAAAATGTACTGTATATGGTAGGGACTCAGAGCTAAATAAAAAATTACAAGATAACTGGTATTACCTACGCTTCAGTAATTATTCCACAATTCCTCAAGTAGCAAATCTTATATTTATACAAGAATTCCAAGTTCATGCCTATGCTCTGTGTAGATGTGTATGAAATGATCTAATCTGAACAGATCCAATCTCCCAAAGTGACAGGACTCCTAGCAGACATTCAAGACCATTTTACACTCATAACTCTGATTCATCCTTTTTCGAGGGAGATCAACTCCCAAATATTCAGGGGCATATTCCCAGTTATATTCAGATGGTTCAATGTTCAGGCGTGGTAATGCAGTTCAGCTGGGATCCGTGAAGCCTACACCCCGCAGTCCTGGGGGTTCCTGAGGTGCCCAGGGTCAAACTGGGATCCCACATGTGCCCCTTACTAGCTCCCCAGCTCTGATTCATCAATTTTTTTGCTTTTTGGGTCACAGGGTGATGCAGAGGGGACCATATTGGGGATGCTGGGAATCGAACCCAGGTCGGCTGCATGCAACACAAACACCCTACCCACTGTGCTATCTCTACAGCCCCTGATTTGTCACTTTGACCTTTTATACTGCTACTCATTGGTTTTTACAAAATGTGTTTAAACTTTTGAAAATATCTGATCTCCTATTACCCTCCCGACTCGTGAACCATAATAACATTAGATCATTTATCCTTGGGGACTCTGGTTTGTAAGTTTCCTGTCAGTGCCATGTTCAAAGAAAGAATCGGAATACAAGGTATGAAAGAGTATGAATATTCAAAATTTAATAGACCAGTCCATGTGTGTTTATGGGCTACTTTGGGCTCAGACAGTTAATTAAAGTGACAATTAGAAAACACCTCCAAATTAAACAGAGTATCAGGATAGGTTTTACCGTGTTATAAGAGGCTGTGTTTCCACAGCCTTGCATAATGGAGCCCTGGGTTTAACCCTCATAAACCCCCAAACATTCCCCAGAGATGACCCACATCTCCAGGAGTAGTTCCCGAGGACCATAGGGTATGGCCCTAAAAGGAACAAAAAAAGAAATGAACAAACAAATAAACAAATAAAATTTTCCACCTAAGTAAAATTTTATGAAATGCACCTGGCTCTTGGGCCAGCTTCTCTCACTTAACAGGGTCAAGATTCATCCATATTGCTGCATCAATAGTTTATTTGCTCTCATTACTGAATAGTGTGCCAACATTAGTCCTTCACCCTCCTGATAAGGGGCACAGGACTGTTTCTAGTTTATAGCGATTACCAATCAAGTTTCTAATACTTGTAAATAAATCAAAGTGGCTACATTTCCAAATTCTGTGCTTTGTTTTGAGAAAACACTGCAGCAAATATGGATCTCAGCAGGTCAACTCTACCGGAGCGACCAAAGATGACGAGAGCGCTGTGGTACTTACTTCGAGGCCACTCGGAAGTATTTCTGGATAAAATAAAAGGCGACTCCAAGGGGCACAAGTGCGACGAGGAATACAGGAGTGGCATAAGAAATCATGCCAATGGCAGACAGGCAGAGGAGTGTGGAGCGAGTCAGAGATTCCAGCGTCGGAGGGATGTGCTGGTAAAAAGGTAATTTGAAAGGATAATGTTTTAGCTCAAATAAAACGTTGGCTACAGAGCAATACCACAATCACTTTCTGCATTGTTAAGTTATAGAGTTACCAATGTACCATGTAAACGTTTTCACCAGAAGTAATTCTTCACTCCTTGGACTGATTCACTCCCTCTAGTGTCGTATCCATATTCCATGACCTACCTACTTACGAGTCAGTTATCTACTTATCTCCCTATGAATCTTAGTGGAATTATACTATATCTTATTTGCCCATCTGCTTGTTTACAGGAAAAAACAAGACCCAGATTGTTAACCTTTCCATGCCATTTTATCTAAATCTGTATCTTTTTTTAATGGTTGCTTGTATTTAAACTCACTATTTCTCTACTGCATTATTTCCTAAAAGAGCATGTTCCCACCTCCTGGAGGGCTCTAGAATGATCCAGGGTGTGGAAATACCCTCTAGTGTAACTGGATGGAGTACTTTCTATTTGTTTGCTTAAAGAAGGTAGATTTCCAGGGTGTTCTAGGTGATTTTTATATTTCTGAAAAAGCAGTGGTAAATTAAACCATAAAGTTTAGGAAGCTCTACTCTACAGAAAAATATTTAATCTGGGGTGTTTTCTCATATCCTTTTCATGTTTTTGATTGTACTGTTTTCTTATTGATTTTAGCTGCTCTTTACATACTGTGGATATTTATCATCTTACTATATATACATATATATATATATATATATATATATATCTGGAACAACAGCACAGTGGTAGGGCGTTTGCTTTGCACGCAACTGGCCCAGCTAAGCTTGGTTCAATCCCTCCACTCCTCTTGGAGAGCCCAGCAAGCTACCGAGAGTGTCTTGCCTACATGGCAAAGCCTGGCAAGCTACCCATGATGTATTCAATATCCAAACACAGTAACAACAAGTCTCACAATGGAGATGTTATTGGGTCTGCTTAAGCAAATCGATGAACAACAGGAGGACAGTAATAGAGTGCCACTGTATATATGTTGCAAGTTTTTCCTTGCAGATAAAAATCTATTAAATTTTAAATTTGCCTTTGAGTTTTTAATATAACAGCAGTTTACAGTCATTTATGTAAGCCTTTCCCCTTATTTCTGAGTTTCCTCTTTTGCTTAGCTAATCTTTTTCTAATCCAGAACTCCAAAACTACTCTTCTAAATATTAATTTAAGTTTTATATTTTCATATGGTCATCTTTATTTCACTAGTTTATGGATATCTAAACTCCTGAAAACATTAGTAAAAAATTAATTGCTTTCTTACTGATTCAAGACACCATACTTACAGTACGTTATAAAGCAATGTCAAACACATTTCTTTTTAATCCCAACACATTTTGAGGCCAGAAATCAGGCATACTTGCTATAAATTGAAGGTAATTTAGGCAACTCTTGAAAAATAAAATCAGAAAAGGCAAGGGCAGAATTAGATGGATCCATTCCTCCAAGTGGACACTTAATTGGATGGATCCCTTTCTCCATTGGAATTAATCTAAGAACAGTCTAAAGAATTTGTTGAATAGAAATTTAATTCCAGAGTCTGAGGTTTTTAATTTCAGGGTAAAATTTTAGAGAGAGGTCTGAGGATTTAAGACTAAACTGGATGTCCTTGGAACATTCACGAAATTGTCTCACCCTCTAAAGATTGTCTTCTGAAAGAGTCAATCTAATAAAAGTAAAGGACATTTAAGACAGTTTGGTTTGGTCTCTAACTCTGAAAGATGCTCTGTGTCAGTATTTTCAAACACTTTTATTGTGAAAGGAAACAAAGCATTGATCAAAATGATTTGTTTGGGAGCAGGGCTCCCAAGTAGTGCTCTCAAGAGGTCTGGGGGCTCCGCCAGCTATTCTTGGCCAAACCCATGGCAGTTCAATGCAAAAGCCCGAGGATAAAATGCTGCTTGGGTCCTGCAGGGCTGGGGATACTTGGGTCATCCCAGTTGCACTGGAGGCCTTGGGGGAGTTCTGAGTGGTGCCTAGGAATCTCCAAAGCTGCATCTGGTGATCCCAGGGGTGCAGGCAATTCTGGGAATTGAACCTAGGATGGGTGCAAACTAGTCACCCATCCCAACCATGGGACTATTTCCTGGGCTCCCAACTCTTTCTATTTATAATTAAAAAAATTTAATGGGAGCCGAGATATAGCTCAGTAGCAGAGTGCAAGCCCTGGATTCAATTCCCAGCTCCCCACACGCAATGAAACAGTCATGCTCGCTCTTTGTCACTGCTCTTTGTTTGTGTGGGTTCCCTAAGTCAGCATTCTCAACCATTTCTTGACCTTGGCCCACTTTCAAGCTCATTTCCTTCCTGTCCCCTCCCCTTTTCCTACTGGTTGCCCCTCCCCCACTATCATACCATAATCCCACATTCATATGATTTTTATCTGGGGCCCCCTTGGGACATCTTAGGGGCACACAGGATGCTATATGGCTGACATTTGAGAACTGCTGCTCTAAGCCACTTCCTCTGTGCGTCAAAATTAGTTTAAATGAAAAGCTTCCCTTAAGATTTTATTCTAGAATTCCCTTGTGGCATTATAACAGTATAAATGCAAATAGTCCTTCTTTTAACTATAGAAATTTTCTACTTTCATCAGGAATTATTACACTTTATCTTGAAACGGTACATAAGAGTTTTCTTTAGAACTTGGAAGTAACTCACTTACCTGATCAATAATATTGGTATCGGCTGAAAAGCGATTGAGAATCAGACCCAAGGGGGTCGTGTCAAAGAACCTAGGCAATAAACAGATTGAAAAGTATGACCAGGAGATACTCTTTGGAATCTAAGAACTTCTTGTAAAAATCATCAGAGAATCATAAAAATGAAAGAACCACTATCATTTACTATAGTATTGAAGAAATTCTTTAAAACTTCACATTTAATTTAAAATGTTAAGTACATGATTTTGTGGTTTCAAATGTGAAAGTGAGAAACAACTACTTTTTCTTTTTTACCTTATTGGGCCAAGAATTATTTTATTGAGGAGATTGTGGTGAAGATTCTTGGCAGCTGTGAGGCCCATCCATTCCACAGTGAGGGATGTGACAAGGCAGAGGAAAATCCCAGCTCCACAGAGAATGCTGAATCCCGCCACGTAATAGGTCTAAAGGCAACCGCCACACAGAGCACTTAGAAGATGAACACCAGCTTTATGGATAGAGGACAATCTTGCCAACTTTACTTTCTCTGACATTTCAACCGCTGCATGAATATAGTTTTTGGATAGTTAGGGCAATATCCAACCATAATTTCCATGCTCTGGCCTTCGTTATTTCTTTCCCTGTCTTTAAGGTTTGACTTAAGGAAGATGGGGCATTAGATTTTTGTTTTCAGATGTCAAATATGTTTGAATTTTTATATCGTAGAGTGTATTTTTCCAACCCAAATCTCAGAATGACCAGCTCATACATTTGTGTAGGGAGTTCAAATACCATCTCAGCACCAATAAAAAAAGTCAAGTGTGTTTTGATTACACGCACGCGCGCGCGCGCGCACACACACACACACACACACACACACACACCTTTTTTATATAACTCCCTCGAATTCAAATGTCATCTTTAAATTGTTTTATGATAAATTTTAAAAAGGAAAATGAGAGCCAGGGAGACAGCTCATTTGGTGGAGAACGCATTTAACATGTGCAAGACCCTGAATTTGATTCCCAGCACTTTGTGCCGTCACACCTCCCTGCACACCTTCCACATCCTATCCCACCCCAGTCCTGCTGCATAGGGTCCTTACATTTTCAGGACTAAGTCTAATGGCCGGCTCAGAGTCATTACAATAGTCTTATTGATGTAGCAAGAGCCCATCACTTTAAATCTCACCCATGGATCAGGTAGCCAATCAGAATCAGAATGGTGCTTAGCTCTCTCTCAATCTCTCTTTCTTTCTCTCTCTCTCCCTCTCTCACTTCCTCTCTCTCCCTCCTCCCCTCCCTATCCCTCTATCCCTCTCTCTCAATCCCTCTCTCTCCCTCCTTCTCTCTCTCCCTCCCTCTTCCTCTTTCTCCTTCTCTCTCTCCCTCTCTCTCTCTTCCTCTCCCCCACTCTCCTCTCTCCCTCCCCTTCCTCCCCCACTCTTGCTCATATGCTCTCTCGCTCTTTTTCTCTCTCTATCCCTCTGTGAGCATGCATGCACTCTGGACTCTTTCCTCTCCTCCTGGACCTCCCAAATCAGGTAGGGCTGCCCGGAACCATGGCCAGTACAAACAGGCCGCGCAGACCCGGACAGGGACAGAACACAGGCAGGGCTGGAGGGCCCAGGAAAGCTCAGGTTCAGATAGGGCTCACATGCACAGGGAAGCTCAGGCTTGGGCAGGACTTGGACACCCAAGTAGTGACCAGGTGCTGAGCACAGGAGTCTTGTCCATGTCCACATGGCCATGACTGAAGACTAGAAAAGCTGGGAAAGGATGACCGGAACTGCTGGGGTATAGCTGGAAGGCCCAGCAAGGGATAAGAACACAGGGATCTCACTCATGCATATGTGGCCATGGCCGAGACTGAGGACATCATCCATGGGAGAGTGGCACAGGGACAGGAACTGCTATCACTCATGGGAGGGGAATAGAATGAGCAGGACAAGATAGGGAGGCCCTTCATGGGATGGGACAATGTCAGGGACAGAACCAGTGTGGTCATTCATGGGTAAAAGAGAGGTCTGGACATCTGGGGAGGGGCCTGGACTTGTCTACTTTATCTGTACAATAAAGTCTAACCTTTAATCTACCGAGTTTTGTATGTGAATCTTGTAAAATTCTTTAAAAATTTTTATTATTTATTATTATTATTATTATTATTATTATTATTTGCTTTTTGGGTCACACCCAGCGATGCTCAAGGGTTATCCTGGCTCTGTACTCTGGAATCACTCCTGGTGGTGCTTGGGGGACCATTATGGGATGCAGGGGATCGAACCTGGCTCAGCTGTGAGCAAGGCAAATGCCCTACCTGCTGTGCCATCTCTCTGCCCCCTGTACATTTCTTAAGAACCCACCAGCACAGGGAAATCCGCTTTCATGCTGACACTACGACATTTGGGTTATTAGACTAGAGGATGTTATTCCTAATCTCAGCATTTCCCAGGTGATTTGAAGAACAAAGCCCTCATACCTGATCAGCTTTGCCCGTATTGTTGATTTTATATTCTGATGTCCATGTAGCCAGCCAGTAGTCGATAGCAACGATGACCGAATGCTTCAGGAGCTTGGAGAAAATCATCAGGAAGAGAAGGAAGAACCCTCCAGAAGTCAGGTAGCGCCAGCAGGTCTTCCATGGCATCTTGGTCCTGAGTCTCAGCACTGTTGACATGTTGTCATCCTCATCTTCCTCTTCCTCTTCCTCTGTAGAACATTCAGGTAGCCAAGTGCCAGGTAGATTTGATTTATGAGCATACAGTACACAAGAAACATACAACTAAGGGATCTCTCTTTAATATATATGGAAATACAAATACCAATTTTAGACATTTTCAATCCTTTCAATAGGGGATTGAAAATTAAAGTAACAAAATAGGAGACTAACACCCAAGAGTGGCCGAGATTAGTACCAGGAATTTTGCCCATGGCTTGGAGGCCAGCCACACATGCTAGGGGAAAAGGGAGCTCAGATAGAGAAGGGAGCACCAAATAAAGGGTGTTGGGAAGATCCTCCCAGGATGGGAGAAGCATGCTGAAAATAGACTATGGACTGAACATGATTGCCATTCAATGCCTCTTTTGCAAACCACAGCACCCAAAAGGAGAGAGAGAACAAAAGGGAATGTCCTGCCATAGAGGCAAGGTGAGATGGGGGTATGGGTTGTGGGAGGGATACTGGGATCAGTGGTGGTGGAGAATGGGCACTGGTGGAGGATGGATACTCGGTCATTGTATAACTGAAACCCAAGCACAAAAATTTGTAAGTGTACAACTGTACCTCATGGTGTTTCACTAATAAATATTAAAAAATTAAACTAATTAAAAAAACTAATATAAATTAAAAAAAGAAAATAAAGAAAAAAGGAAAATTAAAAGCACATTCTTTTTTTTTCTTTTTTCTTTTGCTTTTTGGGTCATACCCAGCAATGCACAAGGGTTACTCCTGGCTCTGCACTCAGGAGTTACTCCTGGCGGTGCTCAGGGGACCATATGGGATGCTGGGAATCGAACCCGGGTTGGCCGCGTGCAAGGCAAACGCCCTACCCACTGTGCTATCTCTCCAGCCCGCACATTCTTTTTTTGAAATAGAAAAAAAATGAGGGACAAAGCCAAGATAAAATGTCTGTATGAGTTACAACACACATCAGATTGGCTGGGAGTACTTATCCTCAGTTTACTAAATTATTGAAGGAATTGTGCACCCAATAAAGCCACGTGACTTAATCTGCCAATATTTATTACTTTTTTGGAACTCTAAAATGTTGAGTTTTTAATGTTGCACCCAGGGAAAGCAGGCTCTGAAGTGTGTGTCTAAGGCAAGAGGGCACAGTGTGTGCTCTCTGGGGCTCATTTCACATGTGGTCCTGCAGGAGTCAGGGTGAGGAGACATCTACAGAGGGAAGAGCAGGGGCCAGGGAGGATGACAGGCAGACAACTCCTGAGGTGTTTGGAGCGGATTGTTTTGGACTGGAGTGCGAACAAGGGGAGGATCGTGGTGAGTGAAGTTAGAGAGGGACAGACACAGAATGATCGCTCTCATACGCAGGATATAAAGAAACACAGTAGGGTTTGCCCAAAGGCAAGCAAATGCCCCAAAGCAACAGAAACTGAGAACTGGCCCTTAGTAGGAAGCAGGGTATGGAGGGAAGTGGACATGGGTGGAGAGGTTGGTGTCCGAATGTTTTGTGCATGAAACCCTCTCATTTATCATTATAATAGTGTTAATGTTTGTGCTCAGGGAGGGCCAGGTTACTGCACCATACCCATCACAAATGTGCCAACAGCTGTCCACCAGTGTCCCTAGGCACCTTCTCATCCAGCCTCTGCTTAGTATCCTCAGTTCTATTGCCAGAGTCTAGGGGTTGGTTTTCATTGGAAATAACCCTATCATTTAGGCACTGTAATTTACAGGTCCTAAAATAACACCAATTTTAGAAAATGAATGACACAGTTTTGAATCTCTCCTTTACCCAAATAATAAAACAATATTATCAAATGCAAATAGACAGGGAGTAGTAGAATATGAAATAATGCTTATTAGAAAAGGTTGGAAACTATCAGTGCTGCAATGGAGGTAGAGAAAAAGAAACCCTCATTCACTGTTGCTGGGATTATAAACAGTAATGGTTAGTCCTATAAAAAATATTGTAGAGACTTCTCCCAAAGCACTGAAAGCTGAGCACCAAACGATGCAACACTTCACTCCTTGGCCTCTATCCCAAGAACAAAAAGACTCGTGTACTCTACGTTCACTGGGGTCCCAGTTACAGCAGCCAAGATCTGGAAACAGCCCGGGCACCATGGCAGGTGAGTGGCAAAGTCAGCTGCTATACAGGCTCACATTGGCATCCCACTATGCTGCCACAAGAAGATGGAATCTTGTTTTCACTGCAACATGGGTAGAGCTGGAGGGCTTCATGCTCCAGCGAAATAAGCCAGAAGAAGAAAGCAAACACCAAAGCGTCTCGATTGCATGCTGGGTATGTGGAGCAAGGGAGCAGACAATTGTCAATGAAAAACCGACCCCTGGACTCTGACAAAAGAACAAAGGATACTAAGCAGAGGCCAGATGAGAAGGGACCTCGGGACACTGGTGAACAGCTGTTGGCACATTTGTGATGGTGTGGTGCAGTAAGAGGACACTCCCTGAGCACAAATATTAATGCTCTTATAAACCGTGTTTCCTCGTCATCATATAAAAAAACACTCGATAATTTTTAAAAAAAGATATCTTGGTTGCATACATCTTTCTTTCTCTGCTCTTCACATCACTTTTTTAAAATCGTGTGTTTTGTACCGATGAATGGATCAAGAAGTTGTGGTATATATAGCACAATGGAACACTAGGCAGCTCTAAGAAAGAACAAAGTCCTAGACCTTACAGTCCATCACTGACGTCTGACCCTCACATCCTGTAACTTGCCCAAATGTTCCAGACACACGGTCAAGGTCTACCTTGCAATCTGTAGCGACGTGGATAGAACTACAGGGTATCATGCTGAGGGAAGTCAGTCAGAATGAAGGGGACAGAGATGCAATGATCTCTCTTGTATGCAGGACTTCAAGATAAACAGCAAGGCAGCAACCAATGATCCAAAGGTGACATAAGCAGGGAACGGACACTCACAATTGAGTTGGGGTGGGTGAGAGGGAGGGGACAGAGACAGGGACACTGGTGATGGGTGTGGGGTTGGGATTATGCCCTTGAGAAATCATTAATAATAGTATCATGATCCAAAAGAGAAATAAAATCGATTTTTTAAAAAAGAAGTGTACTTGGTTTTCTCTTTTCCCATTCAAAGTGCTTTTCATTCCTCATAGACAGATAAGGTTTGCTCAGAATCACCCTACCCCCCTCCCCACACCGGGGGACCAGGACTGTATTCCAACCAGCATTCCATCCGCCCTCTGTGGATAAAGGAGTGCTAGACCAACCACAACCCCCTCTACTTCCCTCCTGCCAAAGAGCACACCTTCCTTTTGTCCTCTTCTCACTAGAGAGACTTTAACACCCCACACCCCCCCACACTGAGATGCTTCCGAGGTGTGGCTTTACCCCAACCTAACTAGATGCCCAGAGGGCCCGCCCAAGGGTGCATTCCATTCCAATTTGTCCAGTTTCTTATCTTTACTTGTCTCTGTCCATATCTCTGCTTTGGCTCTGGTCCTAGACCTTACAGTCCATCACTGACGTCTGACCCTCACATCCTGTAACTTGCCCAAATGTTCCAGACACACGGTCAAGGTCTACCTTCATCTTCATCCTCCATCTGGGCTTTCGCCTCTCTTGAGTACATGGCTCTGCGGAGTGTCTTCCTCTCTAACGTTGTCTGGTCAGTTTCCATATCCTGTAAGGAACGTGGGGCCATCAGCCAAGGTGCTCTCAGCACGTGGAGCTTCAGATACACCTGCAAGCATCTGGGCCGCCTTCACCAGACCAGGCTCTCGACTCACTCCAGAGTCCATGGCTTCGGCAGTGTAGGGGCAGTAGTGGGTGTGATGGGGAGGTGTTTCAAGGGGGGGGCATTAGAGCTCAGATGTGGTGCAGGAGGAAGACAGAAAGTCTGAACCACATGACAGAGCTGAGCTCAGACAAGAGCACCAGATTTTACCCTCCTGCCAAAAGCCAAGTCCCACACCAATGATTCCTTGTCTTATTTTTACATTGTTTTTAGATTTACCCTATAATCTAAAAAAATGATGCTAATAAATATCTCCCTTTTAAAATTTATGTCATAGGTCAGAGCCATAGTACAGTGGGTAGGGCACTTGCCTTACATGCGGCCAACCCAGGTTTGATTCCCAGCATCCCATATGGTCCTTCCACCGAGCACCACCAGGAGTAATTTCTGAATGCAGAGCCAGAAGTAACCCCCAAACACTGTTGGGAGTGGCTCAAAACCAATAGAATAAATATACAGATAAATAAAAAATAAAACTCACACAGTTCTGGATTGATTAGAATGCTTCCAGCCACTGACTACTACTAAGAACCAAAAAGAATAAGCTTTGTTGGTGCCTCACAAGGGAACTAAAAGAGGAATCTTAATAGGAATTAAAGAGAGGTGATTTCTACTCATGGGAAATAACAGTTCTTCGCTGTCTCCAAGCCAAGGAGACACTGACAGGAGGACAAAATGTGTAGACAGAGAAGGAAAAGGCTCCAAAAATGAAAGCATTTACTCCAAACTGTGCTCAAGAAAGTAAGACGTAGTCAAGATTTTTTGCACCTCTGCTACCCACCCCTACCTATAGGTGAATCAGTTCTGTTACCCAGAGCCTAAGTCAGCTTCTTCCAGGCAGCCTAGAGCAGCGTTTCGCATCAGGGGTCCTCTGGTGCTCAGAATATTCCAACAGGGGCACAGGTAAAACTTGTGCAAATGGCGGGGTGGGGGGTGGGGGCTGGCATGAAACTGGGGAACTAATCGGTAGGACAGGAAGGAAAGAAGGTTGGAAGGGGGCCACAGATAGGAGTACAGTGCTCTGGATCCCTAAACAGACCCCTGTTTCTGAGGGGAAATGCACTGAGTGAAACTCTTGGAATGGGGGAGGGGGGGCAAGTCGAGAGTCCCCTGCTGAAGCTGAGGGTAAAACTCTCCATTTGCTGGTCACATCAATAAGCCACTGAGCAGGATTGATCAGCATCTAGGGAGTGGACTTGGTATAGTGGAAGGTTTGGGGAGCCCCCTCCAACATGTGTGATTTTGTATTTTAGAGTATCTATTGCTTTCCCCTATTAGTTTAAAGAAAATGGTCTGGGGCAGCAAAAGCAAAATTTTCTTAAATTCTGCTTCTTTTTAACCACAATTTCACATCGCTTTTAAAATTTTGCCTAATAGTATGAAAAAAAAACAAACATAAGATTAACTAATTTTGTTTTAATTTTTTAAATTTGTTTTAATTTTAAAAAATTTTTAATTTAATTCAGTTTTAAATTTGTTTTAATTTTGGGGCTGGAGCAATAGCACAGTTGCCTTGCACATGGACGACCTGAGTTTGATTCCCAGCATCCCATATGGTCCCCTGAGCACCGCCAGGAGTAATTCCTGAGTGCAGAGCCAGGAATAATCCCTGTGCATTGCTGGGTGTGGGTGTGACTAAAAAAGCAGAAAAAAAAATTGTTTTAATTTGGCGGTAGGGCGTTTGCCTTGCACGCAGCCAACATGGCCGACCCGAGTTCGATTCCTCCGCCCCTCTCGGAGAGCCCGGCAAGCTACCGAGAGTATCTCGGCCGCATGGCAGAGCCTGGCAAGCTCCCCGTGACGTATTCGATATGCCAGACACAGTAACAACAAAGTCTCCAATGGAGAAGTTACTGGGCCCACTCGAGCAAATCGATAATCAACGGGAGGGCCTTAGCTAAAACACAAAATTAAGAGGACTGAATCTTCAAAGTATTGTGTCATGAAATCAAATGTAACTGCATATTAAAAAATTATCTGTCTCTATTGAATAAAATATTTAGTATCCTAAAGACTTTAAATATATATTTGAGGGGGGAGGTTATACTTAACAGTGCTCAGGGCCATTCCTGGTGGCGCTTAAGGATCAAGCAGTGCCCTAGGTCTCCCACATGTAATTCATTCATCCTAGCCCTTAAGATTTCTACCTAGTCATCCAAATAATTAATTTTTATTATGAAAAAGGACTCAAATTTAGCTTATTATAAGTTAAATAGATGGGGGGGGTTGGGCCACACACAGTGACAATGCTCTGGGGTTATTCTTGGCTCTGTGTTCAGGGATCACTCCCAGGGATGCTCAAGGACCATATGGGATGCTGGGGATTGAACTCAGGTCAGCCACATGCAAGACAAGCATCGTTAATCTCTGTACTATCACTCCAGTCCCCTAATGTTTTAAATTGTGCTATTTGGATCAAGTAACTAAAAATTTAGCTTCATTTATGTAATAACTGTTTATTGAATGGCTATTTCTGGGGTGGGATGTGATGGGAGCTTGGAGGTTGAGTGCAGAAGCACCATGGTGACAGATTTTGAGGTTCCCAGTACCAATCACTGAAATTTTAAACTTCAAATCAGCTATACACATCTCCTTTTTGTTCTTGGAATTTTTATTGCTATTCTTCAAACATATTCTTTGCTGCTCACCGGTAACCCTTAAACCACAGTTCTCTCTAACGCCTGCCACAGGATAGCTTCAATTTACGAATAATCTTTCCTCCTTTCCTCAGTGCTCTGCTCGAGGCCAACCTTGCTCAGCCTTGGCCTTCTGGACATCGGGGACAGACTCCACTTTGTGTAGGGGTGTCCCTGAGAATCAAAGCATGTTTTGTGGCATCACTGTCTTTCACCCACAAGATGCCAGTAGCACCTGCTGCCTAGCTGTGACAATTGGAGATGTCTTTGAATGACACCCAATATCTCCCTAGAAAGCAAAGACCCAGCTGGGATAACACTCATCCTGCCATTCAGAAAATCAGACAAACAGCTGTTTGGACAACAAAGCATCCAAAGCTGTTCTAGAGCGGTTGCTCCCGGTTTTAGAGGAACCCGGGTGGCCTCAAATGAGGACAGGGGCAGGTGCTGCTAATGACCTCACAGATGGATTCCCCTGACACACATAAGTCACCCACATCTACCTCTGATGTAGAAGCCCTTCATGTGTCTTCAGTTATAAGAGTGATGCAACCTCCAGGGACCTCTTCATTTCTAAGTATACAACTTAATGGACTTTCTTCCTAGCTAGTTTAACAGTTTTACTATAAAGTCCAGCCAAAGGCTCCCTGGTGGTTGCTGTTATTTTTCCAGATCTTCTTTCCCAAGTAACCCATTAGCAGGCCCACTCCTTCAGCTGACATCATATTCCATCCCCGACATCCCGATCCCCGAGATTTTGGCCATTGGAGCATCCCCAGCAAGCTCATCAAGCTTCTCACAGTATAATTCCTAAGTGGGCACTTGCCGGCTGAAGCTTATAATGCTCTTTTGATGAACATCCTCATTTCAAGAGTCCTGTGGTTTATCCTAGTCTACTTAAAGATTTTTTTACATGGAATTTTTCTTCCTTATGAAGCTTGCTTTTGAGATCTTTGGCAAACATACAGAAGAGAGAAGAATTCCAGAGTTCGCCTGGCTTTTAATCATCCTCTATGGAAACATAGATTCTTTTATTCCTTTTGAAGATATTTTGACTTAAAAGAACACATTTTGATTTCTTGATCGTCTTAGTAATTTACTGATACATAGAATGTCTGTTATAATGTTCATTCCTCGCCAGGAGTACCAAATTCTGAGCATGTCCTAGTCCCACTCAAGAGAAAGCATTTAAAAAATTTACTAATTCAGTTTGCAGTTTCACCTCTCAACCATAATTGATTCTTTCGCTGTTTTCAATCTGATTTTGAACTCTGTTATCACCTTGTTCAGTGTTGCAGTTATATCATGCATAGTAGTAACTGGAAATACATTGGATACAGATGTGATTTTAAGCCCAACTGGAATCCCCAATATGTCCACTATATAACTTTAAGCAAGTTCCTTAACCTCTTTGAACATTAGTTTTTTCATTTTTTAAAGTGAGATGTTTTCTTTATTTCCCAATTTTTCTTTGAGTATCTGTGGGAATTGTGAGAATTAAATTAGCTCATGTTAATAAAGCTTTGTGAACTTTAAGAACATGCAAATGTAAGATTTTATTGACACTTTTCTGCTCACTTTTTCTCACATGCTCTACAGTTTTACCTGTACTCTTTTTTTCAAAACACTTGTGATATTTTGAAGGACCCAATGTTTATCGGTGATAAAAAAAATCAAATATAAATTCCCTAAAATATGAAGCACTTAAAAATATATCATTGCAATTTTTGCTGAAAGTAGACTATAGACCAAACATGATTGTCACCCATTGCCTCTTTTGCAAACCACAGCACCCAATAGGAGAGAGAGAACAAAAGGGAATGCCGTGCCACAGAGGCAGGGTGGGATGGGGGGATGGGGGGTGGGAGGGATACTGGGATCCGTGGTGGTGGGAAATGGGCGTTGGTGGAGGGATGGGTATTTGATCATTGTATAATTGAAACACAAGCACAAAAATTTGTAAGTCTACAACTGTACCTCATGGTGTCTCACTAATAAAAATAAAAAATATATATCATTGCAATTTTATCATTTAAGTAGTCTATTTGTTAATGATAAAAATAGATGTTCTGAATTCCCAATGGAATTAATTATATTATCAAATACTAAACTGTATTCTCAAACATTTAGTAATCAACAGTATATTCCAGCTTCTGAGCAGTTACCTTTTCCAATTCTTGATCCTGTCGGTTCATGAGTGTTTTCCAGTGCTCATAAAGCTCGACATCTTTGGTCTGAATATCTTTTAAAGTTCCCTCTCGTAAAACACTTCCATCTTTCATGGCTATAATCTAAGGAAATACATTAGCAGAAACATCAGAACTGTGACCAAAAGCCTTAATTAGGCAAAAGCTACACCCATTGGGGCTCAGGGCTCACTCCTAGGGCTATGCTAAGGTATCACTCTGGGAGATGCATGGGAGGGACCACATGTAGTACCAGGAATAAAACAGGTCAGCTACAAACAAGGGACGTGCCTTATTAATCCCTATGCTCTCTCTGGCCCAGTAAACATATCTTAATGTCCCTATTTATATCTAGGAGTGATAGCAAAGTGAATGAAGCTTCTTTCTATCACTTACCCAGTCAGCATGTGTTAGATACTGCAATTTGTGAGTCACAAGAACAAGTGTCCTCTTGTCGTCTTGGAGAAATTTCAAAATTCCTTCCTGCATTAAGTGATCACTCAAGTGTATATCCAGGGCTGAGAATGGATCATCCTACAAGCAGAAAAATGGACAGATGATGAAATGTTCCTCTAATTGCAATGTAACTCATTTCTCCTGATACTAGAAATCCAAATGACTAAGTAAAAACTGTCTTAAATTCAATTTATAATAAACAGACTCTGAATTACTTCCAGTTTCTGGGAAGAAGTATTTAATTTTGGGGGTGTGGAGGAGTTGGGCTACACCCAGTGATGCTCAGGGGTTACTTCTGGCTTGGTGCTCAGGAATTATTCCTGGTGATGCCTGGGGGACCATATGGGATGCCGGGAATCAAACCCAGTAGGCTGCATGGAAGGCAAATACCTTACCCACTATCCTCTCACTCCAACCCGAAGAGGTATTTAATTTAAATGAAGTTTTTATTTTATCCTTTTACTTGCTAAGGGCTGGAGCGATAGCACAGTGGGTAGGGCGCATGCCTTGCACGCAGCCAACATGGCCGACCCGAGTTCGATTCCTCCGCCCCTCTCGGAAAGCCCGGCAAGCTACCGAGAGTATTCGATATGCCAGACACAGTAACAACAAAAGTCTCCAATGGAGACGTTACTGGGCCCACTCGAGCAAATCGATGATCAACGGGAGGGCCTTTACTTGCTAAGTTGAAAACTAAACAACTTTTCAAAATAGCTTGTCATTTTCATACGTAGACTCCTCAAGTCTAAAAAGCAACAGCATTCATCAGCGTATAACAATAGACAAAGAAGGAATATAGTGATCATCGAAGTAGTTGACTTTTAGATGACAGATCAGGCACTGACTCTAGTGTGACAAGCAAGGAAGTTGCCACATGTCCATCCCCCCCATAGAGGAGCTGAGTTTGGAGCCTTCCCCATAGTCCCTGTGCGAGAGATCCAGAAGCTAGTTTTTGGGACTGATACTGAGAAAATACCCACCTCCCATTGGACAGGTAATGCTGAGGCATACTCCTTCCATATGCCCCACACCAGCCAGAGCCCAGAATGTAAAGGAATCCCCAATTCTAGATTCCACCTGAGGATTGAAGGAGCCGCACCCAATGCCTAGTGCTCCAACTGGTAAGGCTGCCCTGAAGGGATAGCCCCTCACATCATTGCTCTCTGAGAGAGAGAAGGGCTTGGGTTCACCTGGCTCAAAGGACTACAGCAAGCAGCCATTTTCCTCAGTGCTTGAGGGAGCAGGGAAAAACTCCCATTGCTAAGTTTTCCTGGGAAGGATTCTGAATGGGTACCTCACAAGCTGCTCCCTGAAGACCCTACATCTGCCTACCATGTCTATAGGTACTGGTGAAGCCCCCATACCTGGTGGGCACTTCTATCTTCACCCTCCAATTCATTCTAGTAGTTAAACAAGGTCATCAGCATATCCCTAGAAGAGGTTCCTCCCTCCCTCCCTCCCTCCCTCCCTCCCTCCCTCCCTCCCTCCCTCCCTCCCTCTCTCCTTTCCTGCCTTTCTCTCTTTGCTCCCTATCTCCCTCCTTCCCTCCCTCTCGTTCCTTTCTCCCTCCCCCATTTCCCTCCCTCTTTACGTCCCTCATTTCTTCCTTCCTTTCTGTGTTTGGGCCACACCCAGGGGTACTCTTCGTTTTTCACTCAGGAATCACTCCTGGTGGTGCTTGAAGGACCATATGAGATGCCAGGGATCGAACTCAGGTCAACCACATGCAAGTCAAATGCCCTCTCCCCTGTACTGTGTCTCCAGCCCCAAAGGGGTATCTTTCTAGACATATCAGGTACTCCAACTTTTACTGTACCCAATGGACTGACTTTTAAATCAGATAGCTCCGGATGCTGGTGGGGCTTACACTTACAAGTCCCAAAGGAATATAGCAAATTTGGATGCAACTTTTTAAAAGGTGTGAAGCAATCACTATGCCTTTACACTCCAGATTAATGCAGAAGGAGTGGGAGAAAAACCAACAACTCCCAGTTTCTTTCCAGGAGTCTAAATTGGTATGATCTCAAGTGCTGCCGGGGGTCCAGGAAAATCTCAAAAGTTCAACAGATGTACTACTAGTAAGGACTGATTCAGTGATCAAAAAAACTTCCCAACAAAGAATAGTCCAGGATTCGAGGGTGTCATTGGTGAAGTTTACAAACGTTTAAAGAAGATCTAACACCAATGCATCTCAAATGCTTCCAGCCTTAGTTGACAAGGTCGGCATTGCATTCTAAAACCAGGAAATGGCAACCCAAGGAAACAATCTTACCCACAGTTTATTCAAATAGACTACACTGGACCCTACTGAAACCCTCTGTGTCCCAATAGGAAGTTTTCCAGTCCCTCGTTATCTGCCAAGAAATAGAAATGAAAACAAGGTATCCTCTCCAGTTTGTGGGCCACTATTCCCATTTTCCTAATTTCTAATCCTTATGGTTAAGAAAGGTGTAGAAGAAACCCCATGGGCTCTTCGGTCTCGTGAATACCAATGTGGATCTCCCAACTTTTAACCCAATGCTTTGATCCAATTAGTACTGTGAGGATTTGTTCCCCTATATTCTCCTAAAGTTTTTTTTAGCTTGAGTCTTTGAAGACTCATTTGTCCAGAGAGAAAAAGAATGCAGAAATAAAAAATGAAGATGATAGTCTCACCAAGAAGACAACATTGGTGTTTTGGTAGAGAGCCCGGGCCACACAGATTCTTTGTCTCTGACCCCCACTCAGGTTGATACCCTAGAGAGAAAAAGAATCGTAAATAGCATCTTTTCCACTAGCAAATACACTACTAGTAAAAGATACCTCCTTGATGGGTGAGAGTCCTCCCCGCCCCAAGGAAACCAGCCCCAGCAGCTAAAGACCTCCAGAACCCAACCACCACCCTGCTCACTGGCCACTCTTCATGTGCTCGGGCGAGCCTCACTCACAAGCGAACCTTTCCCTGGACCACATGACCACATTTGTGGCCGCACAACACTTCAAAGGACACACTCTACCCATAGTCAAGAGTACTGCACCACATTTGATGGAATTCAAAGTAGGAGGCAATCAACCTTAGAGGGAAGTATTATATTATTTTGGTTCTGCTTTGGGTCAGGAATTGGAGTTTGGGATGGAAACACCCTAAACATGGTGGTGGGAAGGTGTAATGGTGGTGGGATTGGTGTTTGAATATTAAATGTAGTCAAATATCATGAACTGTAGCACTGTCCTCCCATTGTTCATCTATTTGTTTGAGTGAGCCCAGCAACGCCTCCATTGTGAGACTTGTTGTTACTGTTTTTGGCATACGAATATATCACTGGTATCTTGCCAGGCTTTGCCGTACAGGCAATATACTCTCAGTAGTTTGCCAGGCTCTCCAAGAGGGGTGGAGAAATTGAACCCGGGTTGGCCTACTTTATAAAATTTTTAAAATTTTTAAAATTTTTAAATTAAAAATAAAATTAAAATACCCCATTTAAAATATCAACTTCTCTAAAAACTATCTTAAATTAGTGTTAATTTTATGGCAGCATTGGTAAAATAAGATTATATCTTTTTGAATATACGACTTAATTACATGAAGATAAACTTGGGCTGATCATCTTGATCTTTCTTGGTGAGTGCTGATGATTGGACACATTTTGCAAATTGTGTCTGATATTTTATCCTCTAGCTCTTACATTTGGAATTATAAGTTTAGAACTAGACAGTAGTAAGTCATGTAATCAAGTGTTAAAATTGGGAGGACTTTAGTTTGTCTCAGGCTTGAGTTCATGTCTTTTCCATTCTCATTTCTTTTATTCCTCGCAGCAATTCCAAAATGTAAGCTTTGTTTTCTTTGTTTCATACACATGGAAACTAGATCCAGAGAAGTCAGAGGCATCGTGTTTTATTTTTTCTTCCTTTTTGATTTTTGGGGAACACTCAGCAGTGCTCAGACGCTGCTCCAGGGTTCTCATGAATCTGTACAGTTCTGGGAATAGAACCCAGGGCTCGAGAAGACCAAGCAAGTGTCCACCCCTTCACACTATCCCACAGCTCAACAGTGCAGGTCTTAAACACTGTGTCTAGAATATGATACACGCCAACTACACCACTGACTCTAAACTGGAATGTTCTTCCACTTCTCTCAGCTTTCTCAGCTGCAATATGTAAGTCACAGTATCTTTCATACAATGGCTTTGCTGTAAATTCAATAATGCTTCTAACGACATTATCTTTTGAGGCGGGGGGGGGGGGAAGACTGTGGGGGGTGGTAAACCACATCAGTAGTGTGTACAGCTTACTCCTTGCTCTGCACGTGCAATCACTCTTGGTAGTGTTCAGGAGACTTTATGTGGTGCCAGAGATCCAACCCAAGCCGGCCGTGTACAAGATAAGCACCCAATCAGCTATACTCTCTAGCCTTCACTCTACAAATGCTTGTAGAAACTTTTTCTGACACCAGACATTTTTAGACAATAGGGTCATAAGATTCACCTATAGACATGGATACTTCTCAGCTGGAGAAAATACTCTGTTTATAATATAAAGCATGTTTGTTATGCCAAGGAAAGCGAATGCTAGAACAAGAATCAAGACATGTTAAGAAGTGCAAAAAATATTAGCAACAATTTCACGTTTCAAATAAGTGCAGAGTAAATGACAAGAAAACTACAGTGAATCAAGGGTAGGGTTGCTTCACTTTCTTTAGGCACGTGTGAGCAGGATGGTTCAGCAAACACTTAAGGGAGACTGGCATCAAAGAGCTCCCGCATGGCTTCTGGAACTTATCACCAGAGCAACACATAACTCCTCAGTGCTAAGATTCCCTAACAAAAGGTTAAAGACAACCGGAGGACCTTTCTAAATTGCTGTTCACCACTTCAACTGGACAAGGCTCACCCTCTCTCCAATCTCTGTTTGGTCTCCAAATGGTAGTAAGTCAATATCTGGCTGGAGGGAGCAGGCGTCGGTGACAGCTTTGTACCTTGAGGAGAAACGGTTTTGAAACTTTAGTTCACTAATCACACACTGCCCCTACACGCATTCCCAAGTTCATTATGTTAGTAGAGGAAATACAACGTTGCTTGAACAGTTCCGAATCTATTGGACAATACATTATTATTGCGGATGCAAAGATAAATCAATGCTGTTTTTCCCACACTTAAAACTGGAGCAGAAAACAGCAAAACATATAATAAAAATGCACCTCATTCAGCGCCAGAGTGGAAGGAGACAGAAAACGTTGTTTGAACACACAGGAAAAAGTCTCTCTGGCCACTCTGAGGAGTCAGGGATAGTTTCACGCAGGAGGTCCTATGCAGACTAGCCCCAGAAAGTCCTAGTTTGCCTGGACAACATAAGAGGAGGCAGCTTAAGGCTGTGACAAGGGTAAGGGTTCCTGGTGCTGCATACAAAGGGTAATAGGAAGTCCAGGGGGACAAAGCACAGGTAGTGAAGGTCTGCCTGTGGGAGGAGGGAGGGGAGTGGGAGGTGGGGGAAATGAGTGCATTTGTGTTATCCAAGCCTATTGTGTGTGTGTGTGTGTGTGTGTGTGTGTGTGTCTGTGGAGGGGCATGGACACACTCGGTGCTTTCCTAATCCTAGTGTAGACACCATCGTGGTTCCTCACTCTTTTTCCCATTCTCATCCACTCTTGCTCTAGGGTGAGTTTCAGTCACCATCTTGTCCACTATGAAGCCACCCACTGGGACAGGCAGCCAACGCTTCATGCCTTCTTAACTTGTAACAACAGTTTAGCACAATGTCAGACAAGGACTTAATGTCCCCACAGTGAGAAACAATAATTTTCACACATATTTTTCCTATAGAAATAATTTTTTTGATCATTCCAGTGACCATTTAATGGCAACAAGCAAAATAAGATAAATTATTGTGAGCCTGCTGCAGGGACAGGCGTGAGGGGTGGTTGGGATAATGGAGACGGTGGTGGAGGGAAGGTGACAGTGGTGGTGAACGGGTGTTGGAACATTGGATGTCTGTAACAAATCATCATGGATGACTTTGTAAATCACGGTGTTTCAATGAAGTGGGGGGAAATGTTTCATGCCTGGAGAACTACTCTTCCTACTTCTAAATGTCTCCTTGCTCCTAATTCAGATGCATCATACATAGGCAGATGCATGTGCACGATCACACACACACACACACACACACACACACACACACACACGCTTTACAGATGAAACATCATATTTATCTGATGATCTCCCTTCCAAAACTTTCCATGACTCATCCAAAGGCACAGAATTACATTCCACCCATGTTCCTGTCCCTCGACGATCTCATCTCAGCCTTCCTTGGTGATGTAATCTCTACCCAGATGCTTCATGCGTGGCTGTTTCCCAGGTCATAGGTCCCATCAATTCCAAGTGATGGAGGTTACCTCCTTATGCTAGGTTCTCTTTTTCCCCAACCCCTCTTGTCTCAAGTTCTCCTTAACTTTCCAGATTGAGTTTAGAGGCTTAAGACCCACCATAGCAAAAGCAGCTTAAGAAAAAAGTCACTGGGCATTGGTATGCCTCAGTAGTGCTTAAAGGGTGGCTAAAAGATGGATTATTCTGGAGTTTCGGTTTTTTTTTGGGGGGGTCTGGTTCTTGACCAACACCTGGTAGGCTCCAGGGCTGAGCCTTGGCAGGGCTCAGGGAACATTATGGGGTGCTGGGATTAAATCAGGGTCAGCAAGTCCCTTGCCTGCTACACTAACGCTATGGTTCAAAATGGTTCATTCTGCACAAAAGGGAGTGCCCTGCCACAGAGGCAGGGTGGGGATAGGGGGGTGGGGGGGGGGTGAGTGGGATGGATACTGGGATTGGTGGGGGTGGATAATGGGCACTGGTGGAGGGATGGGCACTTGATCATTGTATAACTAAAACCCGAGCACAAAAATTTGTAAGTATACAACTGTACCTCATGGTGTTTCACTAATAAAAAAAATTAAATTAAAATTAAAAAATGGCTCATTCTGAATAGATACCCTTTGTCACTAGACCTCTGAGATCTCACATTCTCTTGCTTCTTCCCAGCTGTCTTCCCCTTCTGCTTTTTAGCTCTGGTTTTCTTTCTGTTTAACACCATAGCAACATCTCACTCTTGGGCACACACACTTTTACTCAGATGATAAGATATTTGATAATGTCTGTCCATACTGGACAAAGGAGTTGTGAAGTCATAAACATTTCTACTTACTGTTGATAAAGTACCCACTACTCAGTGTCAGTTAGAAACAAGTATTGCCTCTTTATCTACTCTGTGCTCAGTTCTTGTCCAGAATGATCATTTCCAGTTATCATTGTCATAGTGGTCCCTTATCTATCCTAACTGCCCTCCCCCTACTCCCTTACCTCTTGAGGCAGGCTTCCAAACATGGACCAGTCCTCCTGGCCCCTGTTTCTACTGTCTTTGGGTATTAGTCTCATACTATGTTTTTTATATCCCAATCATAAACAACTTTGCAACTGTATATCTCACGGTGATTCAACTAACAATGTTTAACTAAAACAACCCCAAATATTGCTTGCATCCTTATGCCAGGACACCAAAGGTATAATCTGCACTGTCTGTACTGTCTTCCCGTTGTCCATCGATTTGCTCGAGTGGACCCAGTAACGTCTCCATTGTGAGATTTCTTGTAACTGTGTGTGGCATATCGATTGTGTCACGGGGAGCTTGCCAGGCTTTGCTGTGCGGGTGAGATACAGTCGGTAGCTTGCCGGGCTCTTCGAGACGGGTGGAGGAATCGAACTCGGGTCACCCGGGTCAGCCGTGTGCAAGGCAAACGTCCTACCCGCTGTGCTATCGCTCCAGCCCATAGAGATCCCTTAATCACTTAATCACTTAACATCCCGTTAGTCGTCGATTTGCTCGAGCGGGCGCCAGTAACGTCTCCATTTGTCCCTGTTGCGTGCTAGTGTAGCCCAATGGCATCTGTTTGCTCTGGGAACATGAAGGGCCTCAAACCGATCGTTCATGATCTTCAGGAAGAAGTCTGACCATCTGGTAGGTGGGCGGCCACGCGGTCTTTTGACATCCCGTGGAATCCAGTCGGTAACAGCTCTAGTCCAGCGGTCGTCTTTAAATCTCATTACGTGACCAGCCCATCTGATTTTCGACACCTTGGCAAATGAGACAGCATCCCTGATTCTTGATTGTCGACGGATGTCAGAACTCCGGATTCTTTCTCTCATTTGACTGAAACGTGATATTCCAAGCATAGCTCTTTCTATTCTTCTTTGGGAGACCTGAATAGCGTTCTCATCTTGTTTGCGTAGGGCCCAGGTCTCTGAGGCATATGTTAATGCAGGAAGAACAGTGGAATCAAAGAGATGTGCCCGGAGCGGAGGTTCTTCGTCCTCTAAGCTATTTCTTCGATGTTCTTGAAGGCGTTCCAAGCCGCTCTCTTCCTCCTGCGCAGCTCGGGTGCCAGGTCATTTGTCATGTTGACCTCTCAACCTAGGTACACATAGCTGTTTCATTCAGAGATGGTCGTTCCATTGAGAGCGAATGGGGCGTCAGGAACGAGGCTGTTTCTCATAAACATTGTCTTTGTAAGATTCAGCTGTAGTCCTACCTTTCCACACTCACGGTCAAAATCGGCCAGCATTTGTGCCGCTTGGCTGATGTTTGGTGTTATTAAAACAATGTCATCAGCAAAGCGGAGGTGGTGTAGTTGCCGACCATCTATCTTCACTCCCATTCCTTCCCATTCCAGTCGTCGCATGTTCTCGAGGGTGGCACTGAAGAGTTTTGGTGAAATGGTATCACCCTGCCGCACCCCTCTCTTGACATCAACGATCACTTCTTTGTAGAATGGTGAGATCCTGGTAGTGAATCCGCAATACAGCTCATGGAGGATCCTGATGTATTGGGCTTGAATGCCCTGATTGGCTAGCGCTTCAATGACCGCTTCCGTCTCAACAGAATCAAAGGCCTTCTTTAAATCAATGAACGTTAAACAGAGCGGCATCTTGAACTCTCGAGAAACCTCAATGAGCTTGGTTATCGTGTGGATATGGTCGATGGTGCTGAATCCTTTGCGGAACCCAGCTTGCTCGCATGGTTGTCCTTCATCTAGTGTTCTGCCAATCCTATTTAGGATGACTCGAGTGAACAACTTGTAGATGACAGACAATAGGCAGATCAGGTGATAGTTGCCAATGTCATGGATGTCTCCCTTCTTGAACAGTAGTACGGTCCTGCTGGTTTTCTATTGAGACGGAACCTTGCATTCAGACAGGTAGCGAGTGAAGAGCCAAGCCAGTGTATTGATGAGTACTGACGGCAGGTTCTTCAGGTGTTCAGGTCTGACCTTGTCTGGGCCGGGTGCTGTTTTTTTCTTTACCGACGAAATGGCATGTCGGATTTCGGAAGGGAGAACATTGGGAACGACATATCCATCCTGTGGAATTTGGTATGTCGGCAAGTGGACATGGCTATCGAAGAGATTTGAGTAGAAGTTATGGATAATCTTCTCCATTGCCGTTCTGGAGGATGTGATGGATCCATCAGGACGTCGGAGGGCAGTATTTGGTCTTGTAGTTGGCGAAGGACAGGCGGGCGTTCCGAATACTTTTCCCGGCTTCTGCCGCATCTACCAGTACTTCTACTCTTCTCTCTTTGAGGTCTTCCTTGATCGCATCTCTGCACTGCTTTGTGAGCTCGGACGTTAGCTTGCAGTTGCCTGAGGCATGCGCCAAACCACGCTGGCGAATTAGCTCAAGAGTTTTCGAAGATAGGTGATTTTTTGTGGCTATCTCTCTCTCGGCGTTCCTTGCACATTCATGGAGGTGCTGAACCAGTCGATCGTATTCCTCGTCAATGTTGTCAACAATGGCATCTTCCCATGTTGCCGCAATAGTACCAAAGAGTTCCCAGTTGGTGGTCAATCTGGGAGTTCTCTTTTTGAACTTTGCAGCCCTTTCTCCCTGCTCTGTGAAGTAGAATTTTGCACGAAGGAGACGGTGGTCCGATCCCGTTCGGAACTTTGGGACAACAGCGACATCCGTCAGGCAAAACCATCGATTGAATATGATGTGGTCTATTTCGTTGTGGAATCGTCCACCGGGAGACTCCCATGTCCATCGTTTAGATTCTGCCTTCTGGAACTGTGAGTTACCATGAATGATCTTGGTCGACATGATGAACTCAGACAGTCTCTCACCCTGTTCGTTCCATTCTAGGCCATGGGTCCCGATGTGAAGTTCTTCAGCTGATCTTCTCGGTCCTATCTTGGCATTAAAATCACCCACAATGATCTTGTAGAAGGTGTGGTCTTCTTTATAGAACTTCTCCAGCAGCTCCATGTATAACTTCTCGATTTCTCTTTCATCATAATGAGATGTTGGTGCGTAGACAACGAAGATAGAAACTGCTGGCAGCAAGCCACATCTATTCAAATGTAAACGTCCGATTCGGATTGTTAGGCATTCGAATGAATCAATGCTCTTGGCCAAGTTTGTGTTGACAAGGACACCGACGCCTCCAACACCTCTTTTATCGCATGTTCCGAGGAACAATTCTTCTCCAGTGTCGAAAACGGCATGGTGTGATTCGTGTCTTCTTGTCTCGGTCAGACCAATGATGTCGTACTTGATCATTCGCGCTTGTACCATCAGGTCCTCGATGGATGCATCTGATGCTAGCGTACGTGCATTGAAAGTACAGACGATCATTTTTGTCTTCCTTCGTTGTGGCAGCCTAGGTCGGCCTTGAGATTTTGTCGGCCTCTCCTTTCTCATCCTTCTCAGTGCTGCCATGTCGGTGAAGCCTTCAGGGTCAGGTGAATGAGACCAGTTGTAGTTACTGGTTTTGGCATATTGAATACACAACAGATAGCTTGCCAGGCTCTTCTAATTATAGAGATATAATTAAAAAAAGCAAATTGTCCTTTCATATTCTTTTTGTTTTGTGGGAATGTGATCAGGGAAATAACATTTTGTTTCATTGTTTTTGTTTGTGTTTGTGAAGGGAGTTATTTTTTATGGAATAAAACTTGCTTATAAAGATGTGTGAAAAGACAAAGATGGAAAAACATGTTGAAAAGAGAATACAAGATTCTCCAGAGTGAACATTAGCAAGAAACAGAGAGGCAAGCAAATGTTCAAAGGAGAACATGGACCTGAACAGCGAGCTGGAATTAATGCTTGGATGGGTGAGAGAAAGTGTGAGATCTGAGCACAGATAAAATAAGAGTCAAATCCTGAGTCCATAGAACAAGCGTTGATAAGCAGATATTACCAGAGGGAGGGATACCACCCCCTGCAGTTACTGGAATGAACCCTGGGGTGGATGTAGTAGGGTACGATCAGGAAGAATTTTCTGTGTGTCCACTGAAGGAAGAGACATTTTCAGAAGAAGCTGAGCGAGTTCTTTTTCTGAGAGGGAACCAATAAAAGACACTGGGCTAGGTGAAGAAACGGTGAAAAATATTTCCCACCAGTGAAGATGCACAGCAGATAACCTCCAGGTAACATGGTTGTATAAAGGCCAGAATGTGTGTTCGGTATAAAAATTGTTCTCAGAGAATACAGGATGAACAGAAACTTCCAATGAGGCTCAAAAGAGTTGACTCAAAATATCTGGCAGTAAAGCTGAAGTCAAGCGAATAGGAAGGAGTCAAGTCCCTTTGTCAAGACTCCAGAAATTGTGATCCACACACAGAACTAATACCGCTAGGAATCTGAACATTTGTTCAGCATTAAAGCACCTCTCAGAAGACTAGTAGGGGGGAAACCAATGGGGGTAGGGAGACATTGGTGAACAGAAGTGGACACTGGTGAAGAGATTGGTATTGAAATGTTGTATGCTTAAAACTCAGTCATGAGCAACTCTGTAATTTCATTGTGAATAAATGAAAAATCAATTTTTTTTAAAGAACAACAACAACAAAAGAAACACCAAATCTAGTTTTGAATTTTGTACATTGAAAGTTACCTCTGCTTGTTGAAAGGGCTTCCGAAGGTAATATTTTCTTCTACTGTAGCGTTTAAGAGCCAAGGCTTTTGAGCTGCATAAGCCACCGAATACCTGTTCCGACTGGAAATGGGAGAAAAATAGTAAAATTATGCAAGGGCGCTATGCTATATTAACTTTTTAGTACAATAATGTTAGTATAATATCTTAAATACAGAAAAGGAAAACTCCAAAGAGAGAAAATTCTAACAACCACCAACCTTATTAATGGTTAAATATTCCAGATGAACAAGAGGAATTAGCATGTTATTTTGCATATGACAATATCATGTCACATGAAAAAATCCAATTTTTCAACAATATAAAATATGATATATAAATTAGTTAAAGGTATAAACTGTTCACTTAAACTTTCATCTTATCAACAATAATTTAAATTTTTTCTTAAGATGATTCAATCTCTTGAAGAGCTACAATTTATATTAAAAGCACTCTGCATTACTATAAATTATATACGCAGATTTTCCAAAAAATGTGACTTGATGCTATGATTATAGTATATGTTTATGATTTATATGAATATTTGCTAAGATAATGGATATTCTATATTTCAAAACAAAGAGTAATACCTTGAATCCACTTCAATATTGAAATCACTACACATTTAAAAGTACATATTTCAATACAGATTGAAATAGTTTACTTTCTTAAATGATAACCTCCTCCCATTCTTTTTGGCTTACAAATTTTACCAGATGTCTATACATCAGACTTTAATTTTCAGTAATCAGGAAAAGGCATGTGAGTGATGATTTAAAAAAAAAAAGTTGATGGAATGGGGTGGGAAGGGTAGGGCATTGGGTTAAAGGTCAGACTTCCACAATTAGTTCAAGGACTGTAAGTACTAATTAAGGAATTGAGGTTAAAAGAGCATAATGATGAGGAAAGAGAAAGTTAGAACTCTTCTGTGATCATGCTGAAATTTATCTCAGGAACTTGGAAGACATTCATATCTGGCATAGACCAGTAGGCTCTTAAAATACCATAGGAGCAGTGAACAGTGGTTCCCAGCCTGAGACATACCCACCCCTCCTCCCTCCGTCCTTTATGTGTTTTGTTTTAAACTGATGCAGCACTTGGCTCTCCATCTCTATCTTATAGAAGGATCCCAACACTACATAACTGAAAATAACGAGAGCTTGCATTTTTATTTTGTGAAGTCCCAGATCTAGTTTGCTAAGAACAGTCTGAGCTTCAGCCAACGTTGAGATGTGTGTGAGTCACAGAGATGTTTAAAACAGTTGACACAATGCGCCATTTTGTTTGGCAGACTCATTCTCTTAGTGCTTGTACGTGTTGGGAACCACTGTGGTCAGAAATAGTCTGGTCAATTTCCATAAACAATTTTGAACATTGTCAGAACGGATAAAAGCTGTAGAAAAGATTAAGTATCAAGTGAAGATTGAAGAAGGCAATTAGTAAATGCAGATTAAAAGAGAAATAATACCTTCTCGTTGCTTCAAAAGAAGGTTCAGATTCATTTACACTGCAAGTACGGCAAATAATGTTCATTAATTATGAAATATATAGATTGAATGTGTGCACAATCAGGTACGATAAACAATGGACTTAGTAAATAATTATATTTCCTGAGAGATTTTGAAATTGATTTCAAAGACAAGCCAGATAAGTTATAATCATTTTCTTTCCACCTCACCTAGGAAGTACTTAGTAAGCTTCCCAAAGATAAGTAGTTCCATTCTCTTTCCTACATATCCCAATTTTCTGGATTTAAATCTGCTCTATTTAAAATCCAGTTGTCTCTCTAGAAGAGAACTTTTACAACTTTTCCATTTGCAACCCAATTTCTCCTGAGAAATGTTTACTTGATCCCGTTAAACATGTTTCTAATATTCGCATATAGTTAAAATGTTTATTGATAATAAATTGCAAAGAAAATCATTTAAAGATAATTGTCATGGCCACTGCATTCAGTTACATGATCCCAAGTAGGAATGTGTCCCGGTTTAAGAGAGTTTTCTTTTAGTTTTTCTAGAGATTTAATATCCCTGAGGCCTCCCTACCTTTAAAAGTGTAAACCTCTGTTAACTGTCTGAGGGATCACTAACTGATATATTCACTCTTCCTCTAAAAATATGAGCATATAAAATTCATGTTGCAATAAACAAGTGTCATCTATTTTGAATTACTAACTACCCCAATGCATGAGAGAAAAAAATATTTTGGTGGAGGAGATGCTAAACTTGAAAGTTTTGACAATGCTTACTCCTAAGGAATTGGTTAAAAAAAAAAAA